GAGGCGGAGCAGGCCACCATCCAGGCGGACGAGGCGGCCGATGCCAACCCATGGCTGCGCATGACGGGGTGGGCGAGGTATTTGGACGGCGTGCACCCGCAGGATTTGCGCCAGCTCGTAGAGGCGCCCGTGGAGGTAGAGGTGGTGGAGGAGGTAGAGCCAGTGGATATGGATCTTAAGGCAGATCCCACCGAGCAGGCCGTGCGGGTGATTTGGGACGCCATGGACTAGCTGGCGCGGCGCAGCCAGCGGACTGTGCAGCAGTGCGGCGCGGGCATCCGCGTGGAGGCGGCCCGTACGGAGGCGGGCCAGACGCCATACAAGCCATTACAGGCGTACATGGACGAGGCCAGCATTGAGAAGCACGTGCAGCCATGGCAGCAGGTATTAGCATTTATCGCGCGCACGCAGGCCGCGCAGGCGAGCCCAAGCCAAGATAGCCAAGATAGTGAGGACGGGGATGGGGATGGTGGTGGCCGTGGCCGCGGCAAGTGGCTTGGGAGGTTACCCGCGTATGGGATGACCCCGCGGCAGCGCCAGAAGTGGCAGGCGTTATGGCAGCTGGCCATGCCAGCCATCGAGAGGCCCGAAGCTAAAGCGGGAGCTAGTGGCCAAGCGCGTGCGCAAGCCCGAGCCAGGCCAGGGGTGAGGGTTATCCATACGTTCGCCGGGGCCGGCCAGATCATTGAGGACGTGTGGAGTGNGCGCAAGCCCGAGCCAGGCCAGGGGTGAGGGTTATCCATACGTTCGCCGGGGCCGGCCAGATCATTGAGGACGTGTGGAGTGCCAGCCCCAGCGCTAGTACCAGCCCAGGTAGTAGCAGCCCAACCGCGACGGAGCTGGACGAGGAGATGGATGATGGGGATGGGGTCAAGGCTGCAGATGCAGAGGTGGAGGCGTGGCAGATGACCCCCGTGGAGCAAGCGTGCTTGGAGTTTTGCATTGAGCTGATGAACCAGCGCCACCGCACGCACGAGTACGAGAGCGCGCTGGTATGTGCCATGGCCGTGCAAGGGTGGGGCGAGGCGCGCTGGCGCGATCCCAGTAGTTACCCGCCCATATTATCCCGCGTGCTCAAGGTGGCGCGCTTCATGGTGGTGCAGAAGGCGTTGTGGTTAGATCCCCATGCGAAGGAGATCATCCGCATGTGGACGGGCCATCGGCAGCCAGGCAGCAGCGGCAGCAGCAGCCACCCCGTCGCATGGCCGTTGACCAGCGCGGACGACCAGCTGGTGGATATCCATATCCATCCAGGGGATCCAGCCCAAGGATCGCCACCGCCATCAGGATCGCCACCAGGATCACCACCAGGATCAGGATCAGGATCAGGATCAGGGTTAGGGTTAGGTGGGAAGCTGTTCCATGACCACGTCCAGCAGATGGTGCGCAGCTTCATGATCCGCGGCACGCACGGCCCCATGCAGACGTTGCTGGATTGGCGCACGTACGGGTTGAAGGTGCATTACAACACCACCACGCCCGGGCATGTGGGATGGATGGGCAGCGACGAGTTATTATACAAGGACGTGCATTTCACCATGGGCGCGTTCCGCGGCTTCATTCATGGCTTGGTGGGATCGGCGCGCGAGCTGCTGCGGGAGGTATTATATATATCCCCAACCACAACCACCACCACCACCACCACCACCACCACCAGCAACACCAATTTCCCCCCCATCCCATGGTCCGGATTGTACGACGACCCCACGCAGGGCCAGAAGGGGTGGTGTTTTTTGCAGGATACCCGCACGCGGTGGCCGGTAGATGGGAAACAGTAGTTGGTGCAGCGGCTGCGCAGCGAGCCCGCCATGCAGCGCCAGTTCATGCGCCGCGGCCAGATGCAGGCCCAGCTAGTGGCGCAGTATTTAGCCCGCGTGGCCCGGTTCAAGGAGAAGCTGGCAGTGGCCATCCACATCACGGGTGGCCAGCCCGCGCGGGCGCCCGAGCTGTTAAGCATCCAGCATGTTAACACGCAGGCCAGCCGGCACCGCAATATATTCATAGAGGATGGGCTGGTGACGGCGGTGACAGCGTACCACAAGGGGTTCCACGCGAGCAATGACATCAAGTTGATCCACCGGTACATGCCGCGGGCGGTGGGGGAGTTGATCGTGTGGTACATGTGGTTGGTGTTGCCATTCACAGAGCAGTTGACCGCGTGGCAGGCAGCGCAGCAGCAGCAGCCGCAGCAGCAGCCGCCAGCGGCGCAGCCAGTAGCCCAGCCACCGGCAGGCAGGGCATTAGGGTTAGGGTTTGATAGGGGTAGGGAGGATGCCCAAGCTCGCGCGCCCAGGGTAGGGTTAGCCCGCCCATCCAGCCAACCCGCAGGCGCCGCCGCCGCCGCCGCCGCATCAGGGTTAGGGTTAGGGTTAGCCAGCCCGTATTTATGGGGCCCCGATGCGGGCACGCAGCGCGCATGGACGTCCGACCGGTTCCGCGAGGTGTTGAAGCGCGAGACGCAGGCGCGGTTAGGCCAGGCATTGAACATCCCCGCGTACCGGGACATCGCCATTGGGATCAGCCGGCGGTTCATGCGCGGGGCCAGCGCGTTCAGAAGCGACGCCCATGACGAGAAGGAGCAGCCGGCCGCGATGGAGTTAGATGC